CAGTGTGAATAGAGTGGTGTTAAATTGAAATTAGTCAGTTATGATGAACTCAGAGGTTTTAACACACACACACACACCATGGAGTAAGGAAAGATGGACATGACCTTCTGTATTATATGGTTGGATGGACAGAAGTACTTCTATATATTGTTTCTATATTTCCTAGTTCTGTTATAAGAGAACCTAAAAGCCACAGAGCCCTAATAGCAATGGTTGTAACGAGTACCCAGGATCTATTGAGAAACCAATAGTTTTCTTCAGTAAGAGAAACGGAGTAACCTGTGACTTGACAACATATATGAAGTGCTTGCTCTCCAAGCATCAAGACCGAATTCAGATCCTTAGAGCCAATACAAATAAAAGCCATGTGTAGCAGTGTGCATCTGCAATCCCAGTGCTATAAAGGTGGATACAGGATGATGGGTGCTTGACAGCTGGCTAGACTAGCCAACTATGATTTGAGAGACGCTGTCTCAGAAAACAGCGTGGCATAAGATTAACAAGCACGTCTGACATTGACTTCTGGCTTCCTACGAACACAAGCATGCACCCATATCCCCTCACACCCTCACACATACAAACTTCTTAGCAAAACAAAAGTTTGATTCCAGGCAATGGCAAGAAAAGTACAAGGTAAACCAGAAAATCATGGTTATCATAAAGTGAGGAAGTGATTTTTTTTTAATTATGGATTTGGTTAAGAAGTGACAGTAGCTAGTTTGAGGGACAACTTGACCCTCGATTTCAATGACAGTAATGGATCACAACCCATTGATTTAAATGAGGGCTAATGGTCAATAGTGAGATACATAAATAAAAAATACAGGATAAGCTCCCTTAAATACAGTGTTCTCAGCCTTCCTAATGCTGCAGCCCTTTAATACAGTTCCCCATGTTGTGGTGACCCACAACCATAAAATTATTTCATTAATACATTAATACATAAAAATAATAATTGTGCTACTGTTATGAATCATAATATAAATATCTAATATGTGGGATATCTGAAACACTGCTCTAATATAATAATACCAACCAATAAAAATGGAAGGAATTATAGAAAGTTAGATATCAAGCATCATTTCATAAAAATAAAATAGGCAAAGTTTGTGGAACAAAATATTTACATAATTTCACATACTGTCTATAAAATAGTTAATTGATTATAAATTGAGGACTATGTAAACTAATAATGAAAAGTTTGGTACTTACCAGTTTAGTTTAGTGATGAAAATTAACATAAGTAAGAACAGTACACATCAACATTGTATTCTTTTTTAATTTTTAAAAGTATTTCTCTCTCTCTCTCTCACACACACACACACAAAAAAAAAAAAAAAAAAAAACAGAGGACAACCTGTAGGAGTCAGTTTTGGATTCTAGGGACTGAACTCAGATCATCAGGCTTAGTGGAAAGTGTCTTTATGCACTGAGCTATCTTG